GTGCCAAGTACAGGCTGGAAATCCCAAAGTCAGAATGGGATACACCTCCAAAGGTGGTTGAGAATGACCAAGCTAAGATCCTGTGGGATTTCCAGATACAAACTGACAAGGTGGTTGAGAATGACCAAGCTAAGATCCTGTGGGACTTCCAGATACACACTGACAAACTGGTAATGGCCAACCAACCGGACATAGTAGTGGTGGACAAACAGTAGAAGAAGGAGATCTCTGTCCAGAAGAGTGCAGTGCTAGGAACAGCTAAGATACTGCGCAGGACCCTCAAGCTCTAAGGCCTCTGGTAGAGGACCCGAGCTTGAAGGAAGGCATCAAAACCACCCCGAAATGGGGAAATTAAAAAAAAAAAAAAATACATGTACACATAAATTTGATATATCTTTATTTGTTTCTGTGCTATGCAGTTACTGGAAAGATCCACCATCACAGGATTGTGGGATCCTGAGCAGTAAAGACCCACCTGAGAAGAACTGGATCACAGTGTCCTGCCAAGCCAATGCCTACTTCATCTGTCAGGTTAAGTTCTGACAGTATCTGTCATGAATGAGCAAAACAATTCTCTGTCAACAATGATCTACTCAACTTTTCCCATAATCTCTTTCCACTTCACACCAAAATCAATAGCATCCTGCAAGGAAAGACAATGAAGCTTCACAAATAACAGATGTTTTGTATTTAGAGCTGGTTAGTTTATATTTTCCTGCAGCATTCTGTAGCATATTTTGTATTCTAATATCATTGATTATGCTTGTAAGAACTTAGAAACAATAATCGAGTTATACACTGTATGATTCCATATATTAGTGTGACTTTTTCACATGTGGCCAGTGAGTTTGTTTCAACAAGCTTTTATTCTCTTATAAAATGTTTGTGCAACCACATAAGTTGAATGTGTGTATTTCACTTTATTTTTGCTTATTGGTACATATTTTTAAATAATATTTAATTTAACCTTTATTTAACTAGGTAAAATCCCTTTGAGGTTAACATCTTTTTCAAGGGAGACCTGGCCAAGGTGGCAGCATCACAGTTTCAGACAGAATAATCAGCACAAAAACACTAAATATACAATACATGAAGGCTTCAAATAAATGAACAGAGAAGTTTACAAAGACAGTTACCCATTTTTATGTGTGCTACAAACACAGACAAATAGAAAATGTATCATTCACCACAGAATTTACAATACTCTTAAATTCAACATGTGATACCAAGTTTGTTAATTTCCCTACCTAACCTATTCCAAGTGCTGGAGCATAAAATATGAAAGTTTTCTTTATTTCTCTCCATTTGTTAGGGACAGAAAGACAGCAGAGAAGTGTCCTGTGATTATAACTGGAAGAAGAACTCTGAAATAAGTTAGGAAACGTATGAAAGAGGTCTGTTTGGAACAGCTTTATAAATAAAAATATACCAAATATACAGTGCATGGAGAGAGATGACCAGTCAACTCATGGTCAGCTCACGATCTGGTCTTAAGGTCAAAGCAGTTCTTAATGCAATGTGCTGATATGTTGGCGTCTTATATTGCTATAAAAATAACACTCTACTCTATAGTCTAATACTGCTGATAATTGCACTGTTGACTTTATATAGAGTAACTGAGACAATTGAATTCTCTTACAGCTTTGTTCATTGACAGTCATTAGCGATTAACATCTAGATATTATATTCAGGACTGAGATTATGGAAACCTCATAATACACACTTCAGACCCATGGGTAGGATTTCATTCTAGACCTATTTAATATCCTGGTCTTCCTTCGGCTCTACCAGCTCTAGTTCCAAACCCAAAGTACTGAGGTGACTCATCAGCCTGTTAGATTCCGTTTGCCTTTAGTTCTTATGTTTAATCTTAGGTACCTAGCTTTGCACCCCTCATACCTCCAAATAGTCTATTTTCAGAATGATAAAACCAGAGATCTTCTTCCTAAAAACAAGAGGATAGTTCGTGAACGTGCACACCTCCCGCTGCCGGTGTTGCGTTGATAGTGAACAGCACAACAAACTGGAATGGCATTAATTTATTTGAATTTCTCCTCCATAGATAGGTAAACAGCGGTATATGTACCGATGAAAAGACATGTGTAACACTCTAAAGTAGGTCATTGAGAAACCCCATATTTTAAGTGGTATAATGCAGACATAGTAACTTCTCCTGCCTTACAACAATTCTATGCAATGAACCAGCAGGGAGCAAATGGAAAAGGGGTGTACACGCACAGAGAGAATAAGTCCATGAGGTAACGAGCAGCAGGTGGATGGAATAATGGGTGATTACACTGGTTGGGCTGATGTGGCACGGGAGATAGGGAATCGGGGATACAACAAAAAACAGGAAGCATAAGTCCGTGGGCCATGACAGTTTCTGTTCCTGGCACTGCAGTGTTCTCTCACCTGAAATACCAGAGCTCCTTCAGGCCGTATTTTAGCCCACACTCCCCAAAACGAGGCTTCAGGCAACGAGGCAGCCGCCTCTCCAGCATCAAAATTGTGGCCACAACCTGCACAACATTATTATAACTTACTATGACACAGCACAGGAACATGACAAAGTGTTTCTCTGCATTTATGCACACACATTTATATCTGTAGATGAATTCTTATTAGGTTCCTATACCTGAATTCTCCAGAGCTCATCTCTCTACTGGGCCACCCTCCAGTGTGTGTCAGTCATCATGGCTATCAACAGATTTAGCAGAAGGACACAGGCGACCATTGAGAAGGCAGCGTGCACCACGTGAACGATGGAAGGTGTATTGATGGTGTGAGTGAGGAAAACTCCAAATGTCTATGGCACTGGTCAGTCTTTATAACACTATGGTCACCTCGGTGTGTCGGCCAGACCACCACTTAAGGCCCATACATTCCCAGAATGAATTAGGTGCTTGAAGTTGCAGTTAACGATCCTTTAATCCAATTTTCATACAAAGATTACATGTGGGTGTGGTTTTCCTGCAAATAATATAGATACAAATACAATGAATAAGGATTTAAGATATATGCATCTTATAGGCACATTACCGTATGCATAAGTATAATACATATTAAC